TATCTGATATCAGTCTGTACCCTTTGAAAGGCAAAATGCCAGTGGACACCACGGGCTAACTGTTTCAAACCTCAATGTTCAAAAACTTTCTCAAATTTGTACAAATGTGTGTACAAAGTTACATTTGTGTGTATGCACAATTTATGCACAAAGCATACATCTAACTAGGTCTCACTTCTTTATCTTGTTTATCATTGAAAAAGTGAATTATAGATAAGGTAGAAATAAAATTAGGAACTTTCTTTAGAAGCATTTGGTATTTATAGAATTGGACGTGATCCTAGTGATAATGTGCTCCTGTTCTCTCATTTTTCAATGTGCTGAAGCTGTGTTGGAGAGTGATTTAAGAGAGAGTGTTTAGAGAGTCAGCCCTGATGGCCCAGCGGTTAAAGTTTGGCCCACTCCACTTCAGCGGTGGCCCGGGCCTGGTTCCCAGGCACAAAACAACACTAATAGTCTGTCAGTTCCCAAGTTGTGGCAGTGACTCACATAGAGGAACTAGAAGGACTTATACCTAGAATATCCAACTATATACTGGAGCTGCAGGGAGGGAAAACAAAAGGAGGGGAAGATTGGTAACAGATATTAGCTCATGGCCAATCTTTCCCAGCAAAATAAAAAAGAGAGAGAGAGAAGTGTTTGGAGACAAACACCTGAATTTGACTACTGACTACTCCTAAACAGCCTGCAGGCTTGGCCAAAACCTAGACCTTATTTTTTTGCAGTTTTGTAACTAGGGCATCAATTTCTAATTCATTGAACTGTTCATGTTAAGTAAGGGAATGTATTCATAGTGAAAATACTGAAAATTAAAGAAGAAGGAAGAGAGGGTGACAAAACAGATGAAATGATGTGCTTCTTTGTCCGAAAAGCCACTAGGTGAATTTTTCCTTTTGGTCTATTGGGAAGAAATCTCTTCAATTCAGTTTTCTAATGCTCTCCCCTTCCTCCTCTCCTAGACTAGGCCATGGATAAAGAATGCACAGGCGTTGACCTATGTATGTTTCTATTTTGTTTCCATATCTCTCAGCTTCCATTGCAGCAGTTGCCACTGAGAAACAAAATGAACAAGTTTGGGGAGTGAGCCAATTTGGCAAAGATCATTCTTCTCTTCCTGTGTTACTTAATGCCCCTAGCAGAGCATGGCACTCACTTACCCGTGTCTTCTTCATTCCTGCCATATTGTGTTATAAATATCTCTATTAGCACTTCTCTCCCTAGATTCTAATTATCTGTCGATGTTTCTCTCTTTTCACTAGACTGAGTTCCTTGAAGGCATAGGATATATACTACTTTCTTTTTTAAATTTCAGCACAGCTCTGGCACACGGTAAGTGCTCAGTATGAATGACTGAAGTCATATATCAGATCAATAATGGAAAATAAATTTAGAAAAAGGCAATACAGAAAACCATATATGCAATGTATACTGAATTAGAAACCAATCTATGTGTAATCGAGACTTTGACATTTATAATTCACAGTCACCATACTTGCTAAATTTGTGTGTGTTCTGTATAGTCCTGCCTGTGTGGGCCTTCTTTTAACCCTGATGGTCATGCTTGATATGAGTTTATTATTTGCATAATATATGAAGAATGAGCCATACTTTCTTTGACATTAATTATTCTATGTATATTTTGGTTTAAAGAGCTGCAACCTTGACTAAAATTGCTATACACAATATGCTATGGTTTATTGATCTCTGAATATGTACCAGGAACTGTAGAGGGATCTCTACATTTAAATTTCAGTCCTCAAGTTGCAGTGAAGGAATTTTGGTATCCTTATTTTACAAATGAGTACCTTGGATCATGGAAGTGAAAATGATGATACCAAATTCATAGACAATTGAATACATGTGTTGTTTCTCTCTTCCTCCAAGTGACTTTCAGATGACCTGCTAATGAATTTCATAATGGCCTGATCTAAATACGTTTTTGCTAATAACACTGAGAAAAGAGCCAGCCGTTGGACAATTACGAGAAAGATGGAAGGGTATAAATAATGCACATCCTGGATAATTGGCTCACTTGAATTATCTGTGTGGCAATGGCAAAAACACTCCACCCTCATCTATTCTATCCTAAATATTGCTTTTCAGTATCTGGGATAGACTCATACACGGGGAGAGTGTATGATTCACTGAGGAGAACTAGTTGTTAAGAGGCCACTGCTGTAAACTTAGTGACGTACACAAATGCCTTATATTGGCATAATGCTTCCCAGCATTCTAAGCCCTTTTTCATAAAATAAAGAAATTAAAAATAGCTCATAATATATAGGCTAGCAGAGAGAAGCAACACAGCATCTTGATTCAGACAGAAGACAAACCTGGATTCAAATTCTCGTTGTGCTTTTCTTTGCTTACAGTGAGCCAGTTATATGAGCTCTTCTCGTATCTGTAAAATGTGGGGAAAAGATCTTAACAATACCTTTCTTAAAAGATTTTATAAAAATAAACTACTTAGTTCAACAAAAAAGGCAGTCTTTCAATTCATTTAGTAATGGTTGAGAAAGAAGCAAATTAATTTTAGAAATGTAGGAAAAGTCTGTATGAATATTATCCTTCTAATTCTGTGCATAAGGCACCTAGTCTGGAAAAATTCCCATTCAAATAGACATTATATTGCTATAGTGTGAATCTCTCGTTTTCCCTCCAATATTCACCCACTTGCTCTCTAGCACATGCAGTCAGAAAGAAGAACGTAGCTCAGGTTCTGGAGGATGTAAGACAATAATTGCCATTGATCTTTCTGGGACAGAAAGCATTAGACTGCCAAAATCACAGGCTAAGGACATTATTAAACCATAAAACATGATCAGATAGCCAAACTTTGTGGGAAGCTTTTTGGAAATGTACCCTTTTGGTTATCAGCACCGCACATCACTCAAAATTTTCAACAGTGACTTGTGGTTTTCTTTTGTTTTTGGTGTGATAGTACACATTTTATTTTATACCAGCTAATATTTGTTATAAGCAAGTTTATGATTATACATTTCATAGACCAGACATAGAATGCTTTTAACCTTAATTTTATCAATTGTTATGTCAATGCTTAATACTAGCGGATAATAAGATGATATGATGATGATACCACCACTACTACTATAAACAATCACTTATTATGGTGCCTTATATATGCCTGACGCTGTTCTAGGCAATTTACACATGTAAATTCATTTGATGAAAACATATGGAAATGAGTTTTTACAGTGAGTGCTTTTTGACAAGTCTCCCCACTCCTGCATGTCTTCCTCACCAGCTCTTTATGGCTCCCAGAATTCAACCATTCAGGAAGCATTGTAAAGAGTTGAAATTGGACACTAGAAGAGTTTAAGCTCCAGTCTGTGTTCATGTTTAAGCTACTGTCTCTTAGTTGCAAATCCACCCTCTAAATTTTATAACACCCATGCTAAACTGTACAGTTTTCACTTCTTTTAAGATGCTTCCTACGCAGTTCTGAGACTAGGAGGCAGTGTAGGGAGATGAGAAGGACGAAGGGAAAGGGCCTTCCTCATTCTGTCCTAAGGCTGTTCTTGCATGGGGACTGTCCTGATAACGGCCCTCCACGCGGGCAGCAACACCAAGGTCTGCCTGTGGCTTCTTTCTGCATTCCCAGGACTAGCCTCATCAGACCCCAGGCACTGGTCCCCTCTTAAAGTCTAGGCCCAAGCTCCTTGGGAATCTTCCCCAGCCTCTCTCCTACTCCTGGTTCTTGTCTCCCTAGAACAATTCTATGTGGGAGGAACATGGTGAGAGTTGGCGTCAGGAAGAGCTGGAATAGTAGAAAGGAAGAAGAACAGTTTCATTCATTTTGTTTAAGATTTATTGAGGTAAAATTGACAAAATTGTAACATACTTAAAGTGTACAGTGTGATGATTTGATATATATATATATACATTGTGAAATGATTCCCCCCCCATTGAGTTAATTAAACATCCATCACCTCACATATTCACCTTTTAGTGTGTATGTGTGAGAACATTTAAGTTCTACACTCATTAAATTTCAACTATACAATACAGTGTTATTACCTATAGTCACCATGTTAAACATTAGGACCTCTGAACTTACTCATCTCATAACTGAGAGTGTATTGAGTGAGCAGGAAGGAGAGGAAGAACTGACTGTTTGAATACGAACTCAAGTCTTTCCACGGAGCGAGCTGACTGAGCCTGTCTGTCGCATATTTCCTACCTCTCAGAATCATCAGGGACACTAATACTGGGCAGAAGTAACCACTTCATTTCTGCATGTTTAAGGAAATCCTTCTCTTTAGCTTTATTAAACTGATGCATAAAACCATGTTTATTGCCGTTTTATTTAGTAGTATACTTAGAAAGGTGGAAAATACAAGATATAACCACAGTCATGATATACAAAAATTCGTTATAATCATCAATTTTTTTCTACAATTTCATGGAATTATAATGACAGTATTATTTTAAAAGGAGAGCTTAAGATAGAACAACACTGTATTGCAGTCCAAGTGAAGCTATGTACATATGCATATGTAATTTATGATCTATGTATACTTCACATGTATACACCCCATTTTATTGAGGTAAGATAGCACAGCAAGGCTAAAAACAAATGGCTAAGCTCAACGCAGGCTTTACAATGCCGCTGAAAGCCATTTTACTAGCATAAAGGCCTCCAACATGCTGGTATTAACCTACTGATAAATATTTAGACGATTTCTATTTTTCTCACTTGAAAACTAAGCCAAAATAAACATATTTTAAGGCAACCTGTGGAAGTGCCAGCATTTCTTATTATATTTGTTTTGTGGTAAATGCTATTCACAGTGACAATTAAAATATTCAACAATGAAGGGCAGAGATTGGCAAATTCATCTTGAATCCATCTGATTCTCCTATAAAATTTTTCTCTATGGTACAGAAAAGTCATATTTTTTAGCAACCTTCAACTCTCAATTTTGAGGAGTAACATTATTGGCTTTTGGCCCATACGTGCTTACTCAAAGCTATGTGTTAGAGATTTTCAATTTTGATTTCCTGTTCAGAAAAGCATCTACACAAGTCTCAATGCTATTTAAAAAAAATTGAGAAAACTGGAACTTTAGAATACAGGTTGTCCTGGATGCAGTCTATTCCACACTGCTGCTCACTTCCATCGTGTCTTTGGAAAGATACACTACCCAGTACACAAGGTTGAATCCTGCAAATGCAACCGGGAAGAGAATCCGAGAATACTGGTCTATTTTACTGGTGCCTCCGAAGGCTGGAGAAAGTGGTGGGGGTGTGACAGGTGTGGATTGTAAGATGGGAGCTCTAGTGAGGACTTTGTTAGTCTCAGGGGGTGGAACTATTGGCAAACTCAGAGAGGAGATTCTTTTCTTCAGATGATACCTGGAATCAGGATGCTGTGGGGGAAAAGACATAAATATTCAGCTGGGTAAAAGAATAGGGATCACTTATTTAGTCATTCATCTTTTCATCATTGACAAATATTTATTGACCACTTAGTATGGAAGACAAAATATCAGAAAATTATTAATAGTATTTGAGGGTGCTATGTTTCCAAGAAAGTGGTAAAACAATTTTTAAAAGATTCATTTTCTTCTATCCAGTATAATTTAATACATCAGCAATTGATGTCAACCATGTTCTACATCCCAGAACCTGTGTTGGACATTGTACCATTAGGAAGAGATGAGCAGGTCACAAAGGCTTATCCACCCCCTGGTTATGCATAAGCCTATAGGGCAATGAGTGCAGGCAATGAGATGGGATTTCAATTTGGAAGATGCGAACAATTAGTTATTACAAGGAAATAACAGCATTCTTCTTGACACATTCCCAGCCTATATCCTCGTCTTCACAGATTCATAAATTTGAACCAGCTGAGATAACAACAGAAAAATATGAAGGTGCTCGTGTGTGTCAAAAGCCAGTGACAAAGTAAAAATATCCTTAAATTGAGCGGGAATTCTATTCATCCCTTGAAATACAACTGCCTCTCAGCCCAGAAGTTCTCTGTTGAGAGCTTTCTGCTACCCATTCAGAACTTCTCCATTGATCTCCTTTGATCTCCACTGATCTTAAGTCACCAAAAAATGCTTCATTTACTAACCTCAGAAATGTTATATGTTCTTTTCTCTCATTAGATTTTCTGTTCCGCTGAAATCATAAGACAACCAATTTTAGTCTTGAAAGGCATATTTAGCACACTAATTGATAGGTAAGAAGGCTAAGGTCCAGATAACGGAACTGCTTCGCCCATAGTGGCACAGCTTGTAATAAACACACTGCTCAATTACAGTGCTTGTTTCATCGCAACATTTTCTGATTCAGAGCCTCTAATTCTGTTTGCTTTCGACTCCTTTCATACTGTTGGAGACTAGGGGGCCTTGGTCTGATTCTTCTCTTTTCTTGTCTACATCCTATAATAGTCACTCTCCTTGTGGCCAGGGTGTCCTTACTGGGACTCTGCCTTCAAACACTTGCTGTACATTATCCCTGCTCTTGTAAAACCACCTTGTTTCCTCCCTGGCAGCAAAATTACCACTTTGCTGCCTGGCAGGGTATGCTACTCACATGGGCAGATTCCTGTGGCTTTAGCCAGCAACCCTGGGGTAACAGGATGAGGCAGCCGCCTCCCCTGTGCTGGTTGAGCCACAGGACCAGAGTGACCCGCCGATGTAGTGACATTTGGACTGTGGGAAACAACCACCCCACGAACTTCTCTCCACATTCCCCTCCTGAATTTTGCTGTTTGAGATGTCATGAAAGTTACTGAGTATTTAAATAGTTATAATCATTATTGAGAGTTCAAGCCCAGTATGCTTTTAGGGGCAATGGGAAAATCTGTTTCTTCAGCAAAAGCAAAAATGAATCTGTGTAATTAAATCTGATTTGACATGACCATGGCGACTTTCAAGCAAAAAGTATCTTTATTTGTTATCTATCAGCCCAGTTTTGTGCTGGGCACTGTGGACAGAATTAAATAAATCATAAGTCTTGGAGGTAGAAGAGAACTGACCATAGTAGAGGGCTTAGTCTGCTGACCTTGGACAGGAAATAAGTGACACTTTCTAGAATAAACATAGAAACATCTTCCAAGAGCTTTCTATCATGTTTCTCAGATGCTAATTTGAATTTTCATCCATTAAATACGCTATTAAAATATTCTCCACCTGAAAGAGTAAAATGTGCCACTGTTTCATTCTCCAAAAAGAGTTATATTCCTCCTAGATTTATGAAACATTAAAATATTTCACTCTAGTAAAATGTCTAAAGATCATGATGATGTAGAAAGAAGGCAAGTCTTTAGAGCATATTTACTTTCTAAACTCATCTTAACTTTAATAGCGTGCATTGCCTGTGTGAAACCTGTGTTTCTTTCTTTTTTAGAGTGAAAGAGTGCAGACATGAAAAAGTTCATTGAGATAAAAAAGTGGTGGTAAAACATAACCCACCATAAAAATGTAAGTCATTATTTTATCTCCCCCTCTCTTTTAGCGATATGGGGGAAAAAAGTTATTTGTCAATTTCTTGGCACTGTCACAGTCTCACAAATGACTGAATGAGGATCGTCAAATAACCCTTGTCCAGAGTTAAGTAGCATCATTCAAGACCAAACACCATGAAAAATTTAAGCACAATGGCATTGGCCTGGAATTAAAAGTCTCCTACAGTAGGATTCCCTTAATCCTCATCTATTTCCCTAAACAATCTCAATGGACGGTTGCTTAAGAGTTAAGAGGACAGGAGAGTCAGAAAGCCCTAGATTGCAGTTCCGTATAAACTATCTACCTGCTGTATGACTTAGACATGCCATAGATGTCGACTCTCCTTAAGCTTCAAGTTCCAGTCTTTATAGTTAGGGACAATTATTACTTCTTCCGTAAGTTTTTTTTCTTTAAGAATTTGAGAAAGAAAATGTAAGATTGTGTATACTTTTATAAACTTTTCTGCCTACTTAGCTGTTACAACTCTTTTAACTGTTATCGCATTCTTCTTTGTAAATATCATTTCTATTCTTCCTTATCTCCTTTCCTGACATGAAATCTCCTTAAGGTAGAGAGCGCATTATTCTCATGTAGAAATGCTCCACCGTGCCTAGCCAGAGCATAGAACATAGTATATGCTTCTATGCATAGTATATGCATAGAACATGGTATATGCTTAATAAACATATGCTGAATCAACAAATGAACGAAAATCTAAATGTTTTCCAAGATTTCTTAGAGTAGTCAGGTAAAGAGAAGGGGGAAAACATTTTATGATTATGTTACACTATATTTTAGTATATTGTTTTATATTACATTATGTTATAGGGACCATTTCTAAATGCTTTCTATTGATAAGCACTACAAAGCACTTTGCATGCATTATTTTGCTTATTCCAAGAGAGAATCTATAATGTAATAATATTGTTTTCATTTTAGAGTTGAACAAATGAAGGTTCAAGCAGAAAGCTCACATGAGTAACAAGTGGCAGCATTTGAATTCAATTCCTCTCAGATGCCAAAAATCACACTTTTAACAATTACTATGTTTTCTTCCCAACTTTAGGGTTTAGGTCGCAGTTTCTCAACTGCAGAACTATTGACATTTGGGGTAAAATTATTCTTTGCTGTGGGGGGACAGTCCTGTGCATTGTGGGATGTTGGGCAGCATCCCTGGCCTCTACCTTTAAGATACCTGTAGCACCCCTTCCCTGGAGTTGTGACGACCCAAAATATCTCAAGAGCTTGCCAAATGTCCCCCGGCGAGAAACTCAGCCACTATTGGGAACCACTGATTTACAGTTACAACTGTCCCACTGCCCAGCGGTGACTGGGGGGATTTCCTGCAAGCAGCACATACGATATGCTCAAGGAAAGACAAGAGGCCTGGCTAACCCACACGCTGGATAATCAGCCCCTGGATAATTAGCAATTTGCAGTACAGGAGACCGGACACCAACTTAGAAGAATCGCATTGAATTTCTGAAATGAAAGCCAATTTTGCAAGCCAGCCAAGCTACAGGTTTGCATCTGATCCCGCCTGCTCCATTGTAAGCCCAGCAGCTTCAGCTGATGGTAAAATAGGCTTTTGTCAGAGTCCAGATGAGGGCTCAGCTTGGGGCTGTCACTGTTTTGAGTGGAACACCTGTGGTTTTGAATTTTTCCAGGGCTCCCCTGCTGCTGAGTGCCATCTTGCTTTGGGTATTTTTAGAGCACTGCTTTGTTTTAAGTAATGCCATATTGCAAAGGTACTTTGAGTCAAACTGGACTTCATGACAATCAATAATGTGATGTAGGGATAAGGCATTTGGGAATTACTTAGAGCAATTTTGATACAACATTCGGTGAGTCTAATATATTAAAGGGGAGGGGGCAAGAGTTTACCTCCCAAGAGAGATATTCTAACCAGGGCTGCATAACTTAAGTGACAAACAATGCATCTGTTTTAAAACCAGCAAACAGGGGCACCAAAAATAAGAGAAAATACTTTTGAAAACATTTAGTATTTGACATTTTTTAAAACTATCATATTAATCATTATGGAGAAAATGAGAACTCTGTCAAATTTTCCTGTGTTTACGTTACAGCTGATAGAATTGGCAGCAGAGATGATTCTAGAATTTCCACAGAGAAGTAGCTTATTGGCAGCATTCTAGTGGGTCAGTGGTGCTAGCGGCATGTGTAGGAACCATATTGGAATGTTTGGAGGGCGCAGAAAGAAATATTGGATGGGGATTTGATAGATGGTAAGGGGAAAGAGCTAATCACCTACTCCCCTCATCTAATGCACCCCACCTCTCTATAAGTCATACCATGGCACAACCATGGGGAAAGGGTACCATGATCTTTCTGGTGCTCAGGGTCTCTGACAGTCATAATCTAACCCGTAATTCTATGGAGTAATGAGAGTACTCAAAGAAATCTTGTCAACATGTGGAACAGAGAGGTAAATCTTTCAGTATTCTATGCTTCATATCTCGCTACATAGGTGGAGGGCAACATGGTAATGACCCAGCAGACATCCTAACCTTGAAAAGGAGTACACAAAAGATGTTTGTCTTATTTCCCTCTCTATGCCCAACTTTCTAGCAACAGATTTAGTGCTTAGAGCGAGGGTAGGCTCATCTTTCTGCTCTCAGTTTAGGCATCGCTTCCTCCAGACTGAGATAGGTATGGTGGCACGGCTTCTCTTCAGACTACTATACATCTCTAACCACAGCCTTCATCACGATGTACTGTCATGGCTCATTGTTTTGTCTCTCTTCCTGCTCGACAAGAAGCTCCATGAGGGAAGAGGCCCTAGTGATGTCACTCACTAATGGATCCTCTGCATTCTACAAAGGGTTTATAAAAGCATTTAACAAATACTTACGATATGAATAATTCAATGAATACATGAGTACTCAATAAATGGGTGCCAGGTGAAAAGAAAAAAAAACAAATGAATAAACAATATAATCAGTATAAATCTAGTTACTGTCCAGACTAATGAAATTTTGGTCAATTTCATTTGTAGATAATTTACCAAGAACATCACACCTCCTGTGAAAAAGAGAAGCCACACTAGATGTGTTGCTGGGTGGAGGGGATTCACTCTTAGGAACCTTAGTGATAAGGGCTCAGACCTTTAAAGTAACAAGGAAACTAGCAAAACATCCATAAAGAGATCAAGGTTCAAACTTGATCTCACATGCAGAATAAGTAAACCCCAGACATATAATAAATTCTGAAACATCCAGACAAAAGTAACTCTCTAATGCCAAGATAGCATGCCAGGTAGAAACAATAAGGAAAGATACCATATAAGCAGGAAAGAAGCTGCGGGCAAATTCTCAAAACCTAAAGAAAAATAGTCTCCAGTTCCAAATGCCTTAAAATCAGAAAGATAATTAGTCTATAGAGCACGTCTAAGGATTCAGTTTTAGCCTCTCTTTGGGTTTGAGTTCTAGATTTAAAATGCCTGAATTTCTTTATCATTATTATATTAAATTTCAAGGTCAAATCAAAGTGATAAACTTCCCCCACATTCATTCTATGTAGTTTCCTGTGAAAAGCAAGGAGCACATTAAAATATACAACTTAGAACCACATGAAATATCCAAGCACTTAATTTCATTTCAACTTCACCACAGTGGTTTGCTATTTCAATGTCCATCCTACTGAAATAATGTTATTTTGATTACAATTGAATAGGCATTTTTAAATGTCATGGTATTTGAAAGAAAAAATGACCTTGCAATCATAATATACCGTTGTGTTGTATAAATTGCAAATGTGCAATTTGTTTGTTCCTCTACATTATGTAGGTAAATTGCAAAGTTTTGACATGAATAAATAAAATGTGAATGTTCTATGTAATCATCTATATTTATTTTTGATACCTACAAGGTATGTATTGTTTGGTTTGGTTATTTTTGTTTTTATTTTTACACTTCTGACCTAGCCTTTCAGAAACGAAATTCTCCTTTTCACTGCCTTAAAATATTTTAAATAGCGCCAGGTTTAGAAATGAAATTTTTCATAAGAAAAAAGTTAACTCGCAAGAATAAAAGTACTTGGAGATGATTTAAGTGCAATTTTTTTATACAGCTTCCCAAAGGATCTGCTCATTATATGTTACTATTTTAGAATTGCAGAAGGTAGTTTATATGAAGATCTGAGATCTTAAATTCCATTTTATTAATAAATTATACCTTTAAAATAACAGACAAGGGGAATGATAACTCTAAGCTTCCTCTAAGGATTTGAAATCATATTCGTCTCAGCAATATATGTTTCAAAAGAGCTGAAGCATGGAAGTTGGTCTTTCTTTTTACCTTAACATCAGATCAATGAGCATATTCAAAATCGTTGGAGTTATTGTTTTACCCTGTTTCTCATGAATTTCTCTGTTCATTTTTACTGTATTTCTCAAATAAGAAACTGTTAAACTTAATTCTGATAAATATTATTTCTTATTTCTTTATAGATATATGTTAAGATAATATATGACCTTTGGACAATATGTCACTTACATGCCTATACAAATGCAGATACCTTATAACTTATTTTTGTAAACAGAAACTTTCTCAAAAATATTTGGAATTTATCTTTTCTGGAAAAAAGAATTATTTTCAAGTGTTTTGGACTGAGTCTTCAGATCAGCATATGTTTGTTACAAAATTTATATTTTTGTGACCTTTCAAAACACATATATATAAAGAAAACATCATTAAGTCCAGGGAAGAATTTTGAGAATGACCTCATCTACATTCTGAAATGTTTACCCAATGATATGCACTCTTTTCTATTTCAGTCTTTGAGGAATTGTTGAGATGGGGAGAGCCTCATCCTCTGTAAAATTGTGAAAATCATAAGTTCTAGAATAAATTCCTGGTTTTTCTACCAACTAGTGACTAATACTCTCCCTCTCCAAGATTCTGTTTCCGGTTTTGCAAAAGGGGGCAATTAGACTGGATCAATGTATGGCAAACTTTGTTTTTTAATGAGCGCTAATTCAAGAAAAAAATCTTTAAATTATATATTTCCACTTATGGTAATGGCCTTATTTTAATCCTTGGAAAAAGTGAAAATTCTAAAAGTTTCTTAGTTTATCAAAGAGAAAAATTTCCATAAAAAATTATCATCATTTTAGCCAATAAATGCCCAAGTTTTTGAGGAGTAAAATACATATAGCTTTATAATTTCTGTGTTTTTTGTTTTTGTTTTTGAGGAAGATTAGCCCTGATCTAATGGCTGCTAATCCTCCTCTTTTTGCTGAGGAAGACTGGCCCTGAGCTAACATCCATGCCCATCGTCCTCTACTTTATATGTGGGATGCCTACCACAGAATGGCGTGCCAAGCGGTGCCATGTCTGCAGCCGGGATCCAAACTGGCAAACCTCGGGCTGCCAGGAAGCGGAACTTGCGAACTTAACCTCTGCGCCACTGGGCCAGCCCCACAACTTCATAATTTTTATCATAAAATTTAACCATGAATTACTTGGGCTGCATGTGGTTCTGTGATTTGGAAATGTTCACAAGAATTGATCAATTATAAAGAAATTTTCAATTCAAAGTGTATTACTTGATTCTACAGAGCAAAATTTTCCTCTTTTCTAAGAGCTCCTGTTTGGGTTTAGATTACAATAAACATTATACTTGTCAATCAGTTCTCTAATCCATTAAAAAAAATTGTGTGTGGCCTAATTGTTATGAGAATTTCCTCATATGTGAAATTGAAATTTTGGTGGCATGTTTATGACCCGTGAATTTTTAATGCTATGATTTGTTTCTTATTCAAAAAGCCTTTGGGGACCAGAGCTTAGACACAGCAAATCTAAACTTAATTTTATAGATATTTCCCACTGATTATAAGTCTTTGAATGAAAAGACGTGACTATGCATGTATTTAATATACGAATGTGAATATGAGAGTGTTTTCATATGAATCAAAAACTTGGGTTATGACTCAGCATTTATAGAATCTAATAGTCACATCTTGCCCTCATGAAATAAAGTAGCAAGCAAGTTTCTAACAAAAATTGTCTATTCCATAGGACTCCTGTTTCTTTCTTTCAGACTCTGAAGCTTCATTAGAAACTTTTTTTTTTTACCTTATTCTCCCTAGTTGGTGGAAGTGAACTTCTTCAAAAGAAACATCTGAAGGCTAAGAAGAATTTTCTAGTCTACTCTGAGAGGTTGGAATCTGCCAGCACTAGTGAAAATGATGAAAGAAGAATGCCAAAAGTTTAAAGATAAATGAAGGATTTTTGCTTGACTTTTTTCTGTGAAGTTGGAAAAGAAGCTGGCCTTGAAACCAGAGGTTGTGTAACTTGTGCTCAAACTAATATTACATTTGGACTATTTAGTTGTTTGAGTTGCCTTTTCCTATACGGTTGGTAACACTAAAAAAGTAAACAATTACCAAGACAATCTCAGCTTCCAAGGGTTCAGTCACTTTTGAGATTGTCACTGGGGGTGAAGCTGCAATCTGTGCCTTCCTTTTGGCCTTCTGTGTCTGAAGATTCGTAAAGTAGTTGACAGCTGCAAACTCAATAAGAGCAGAGAAGACAAAAGCAAAGCAAACAGCTATGAACCAATCCATGGCAGTCGCATACGACACTTTTGGCAACGAGTGCCGGGCACTGATGCTTAAAGTGGTCATGGTTAAAACAGTGGTGATCCCTAAAACGAGAAAGAACAAGAAACGCAGTATTAGCGTTTGGGATCCAACAACAAGATCAAATGAGAACATGTTGTGGAGAGGATTAAACACTCTGCAAGTGTAATTTTTATTATTTGTTTTCATAATCATTCTCAATTATTATCATGGGTATTATCAATTTTGTATCCTTCAATACCTAGTATAGTGATGTATACATTGTAGTTGCTCAAAAAATATTTTTTGTATTGAATTAGTTTAACTATTGTAAAATTTGTCAGGAATAATTCTAGTTGTTTACTTCTTGAGAAAACATAGCAAATTATTATAACAAGTAATAAAACAAAATTTCTGATCAATTTTAATAGCTGATAATATCTTTCATCATAATTGTCTATACCAGATGAATAATAAACATAAAATTAGGTTCCACTTTTTTTTTATGTCTACCTTGGTTTTAAGGTAAAATATTTACTCATGAGAAAACAATTTCATCTCTCATCTGCCATCAGTGTCTTGAATTATGACTTGGGGAATTTATATAATCTGAAGATGGCCAACAACATTATATACATATTCTTTTATAATTTGCAAAAAGAGATCTATTTGAACATAGCAAATTAAAAAGTCAAAATTCATCTGAGAGTTCAATTCAATTCAGTTCTTCCCTATGAACTATTAAATTTACAATCACGAAAACTCAGAAAAAATTAGATTTTGTTACTGACGATGTTTTCTGTTACAGCTCTTTTTCTTATTTCATTCTGTTCCGTCAAAACTGGTTGGATTCTATACATCATAAATGGAACTAAGTATTTGGGTTCAACTGTGGGAAGCTGGTGATATTTAACTAGTTTTAGACCTAGAAAAATGGTAATTATTTTTATGGTTCAATCTAATAAAAGCAAATTATAATTTGTCTATTAGGGGTTCAATATCATAGCATTTGTTTTCATAGATTTACTTGTCAGTTTTTACTTTTCTTCTTTTCCTTAGTTATGAAAAAGCAAACGGAGATTTAAAAAAAAAAAAAACACTTTCCTAAATAGAGCACATAAAAGTCACAGGAAACCAGCCAGAATTCTTGCTGAGACTATTTTCTTGTTGATTCACTATACAACTTACAATAAGATGACAGTCATTTTACACGATCCATGTGTCTGAATGAGATAGGAGTCTATTTCCCTTGCGGATGGAAAAGTACACCGGTGTGAATATTCCACTAAAATACACAAGCAATGATAGCTGGAGGATGAGTGGAAGTAGAGTTCAAAGAGTAAAGCATACCAAAGACAGTCCTGGCTGGGACAGACTCCTTATTAATCCAGAAAGACACCTGGGAAAGAATGACCGTCATAATGCAAGGAGTATATATTTGTATCATGAAGTAGCCCATCTTCCTTTGCAAGTGGAAATAAACTGTCATTATTACGTATTCACCTGTTGGAAGACACGTATATCATATTATTGCTGTTGACAGCGTGCAAAAAGAATGTAGCTAGAAATAAATCTTGGAGATCTTTAAATTAACATGGGCCAGAAGAAAACAAGCAAAGACATCTTTCAATATATGACAAAGCTACTTGATAGCAGATGATAGATAAATCAACTCAGTTTTCGGTGGGGTTCTTTGTATCACACACACACACAGCTACCTATTCCAAGATTACACAAATCTATGTATGCACACCGTTGCAAAATCAATTTTAAAGAAGGATACTCATCACTTCAAAACAGCAAGCTTAGCTGAGGATGGCTAACGCCGAGAAAAAAGAAATATATATTTTGAAAATGTGCGCTGGAGTCACCTTGCCGGATGGATATAGTGCATTCGTCAAATTCTTACCTGTGTTAGATTTAATTGTCTCACTAGATACTGTTTGTCCAATCAGATCATACTGGAGGAGGCTTGAAGATTCTTCTGGGACTTCAACTGAGTAAAGTGGTCCTTTTTTCCATGTATAAATGATTTCACTTTTGGGGTAAGCATCTGAATTTTTTAAACAAATTAAACATAGCATTGTGAATCTGACTAGTTGTATTTCTCTTTTCTTTCAAAACAAATATTTCAAACAAATGTTCTTTAATGTTTTCTTTAATCTGGGTGACTAAAATTTCTAACTATGTATGTGATTGACAGACACAATGAAGTAAGTTTGCTCCTGGAATCACACTGAGAAGTAATATCTCTCTTTTGCTTTCCAGTCTCTGACTAAACCAAATAATTGCATAATTTGAGTTCATCATTTGACTCTCAGAAGCTTTTTGTAACTTACAACTCCCAAACTTGAGTGGACAAGCGTGTCCATCCATAGGAAAGTTCACCAGTCTCATAGGACAGTCAGCATTGATAGTAAGCCTAGGGACATTGACACAAATGGATCTGAGTTAGTATGATGGACAAATAATTTGGGCAGAAGAAGTAGAATTGGTGAAACCTCACCTCATGGTGTATAGAATGGTTCCATTCTGCATTATTCTGAAGAGTTTATTAGGAGTTGTCATATTGTGAGCAATTGATTTTTTGCCATTCCTAAAAAAAGTGTCAGGTGTCCAGATTTTACTGACCATCAAGTTATTCAAACTCAGAATCTCAGTTGGTCCCCCAAACTTCAACCTCTCGTCAGTCCAAGTCTGGCGGAAGAAAACATCCATTGTATACTCCTAAGAGAAAACAAGATATTTACTCAGGATGGAGAGATGATTTGTTAAGAATGGTTTACTCACAACTTTATATACCCAATTCTAAAACTTCAGAAATGAAGCTACTTTTTATGATAATAGATCATCAAGAAAGCCCTGATTTCAGTAAATCATCATTTTTCTCAAACACAAAGTTTATGATATTCATATAAAAGACAGTGCTGTGCTGTGCAAACTTCCCTTCTCCAGCCTGACGCTCCTCAACATTCCTCCACTTTTCCTGTCAGTCATCCATCTCTCCATCTATAGACCTATCAACTTCCCCCTCCTTAATTTAGAATAAAAACGTAAAAAGGTTTACAGTGTAGGTTTTGTGCTGGCCTTCCTACCATCAGTTAGTCTAACCATTTCACTTAGCATCTCGTTCACCTTCGAAGCACCTCTGAGCACTGTGGTACCATTCAGTAAAGTTCCAAGGATGGGCAAACTTTACTTGATAAGCATACTCTGGCTGCACATCATAATTATTTCATATTGCTCTCAGAGAACATAAAAGCAAATGTTACCATGATTACTCAAAGCATCATTTAAGTATGCATAATCAAAATTATGTTTTAATTTGTGGTTTTTATGGAATAACTTAAAAAACCTTAAGAGTTATGATGAGGGCCATTGCAAAAGTCAATGACAAATAACAACTTGTAATTATATCAAAATCTTGCCAAAAATTGTTTTGCCTACTTTATGTATTCCTTTTTGAGACCTATTACCGGAAGTGGCAATTATACTTTAAAAATATAATTTGACACACAAAATATCCATACAATAATGATCCAGTCTATAACAAGCCTCTATTGTATAAATATGCTTAAAAAGGTGACACTAGCATAAAATAAAGTTTCATGCATCCCAGACTTCAATAATACAGTAGAATATGGTTGCGGTTATTTATAGTTGGAGTGAGTCAGTACTCAAATGAAAAATATGATAGTAAAAACTTGAGGATTCTGGATAATGATGACTCTCCTTTCTCTCAAGTCTTAAGACATTTATCTCTTAAATAAAGTCCTCCTCCCTCTCTCTCCCTCTTCCTTGTTTTCTTTCTGCTCTTCCTCCCTCCTCCTTACATTCCTTCCTTTTTTTCCTTTCTTCCCTTCTTCCTTCTTTCTTTTCTTCTTTCTTATCAACTCAAAAAGCAGAAGATGAAAAAGTCTCCAATAACTATTTATCTGGAATTACATTTTCCTAATAAAATTTAATGAAGTGCCTCTCTAAAGAGTTATATTTATTTCAGTTTTAGCACTTGTATTTTACTTTTAGGGGGAAATGCTACCCGAGAACTTTGAAAGAATACCATGATACTTTTTGTTCTAGAAGACTAGTTCAGGTGTTCATTGCCACTTACTATAAATACTCTCTTACAAATCCTACAGCCATCTGTACCTGGAACAGAGTCCCCAGAACACCTGCTGGTCCATTCTCAACATAAAAGGTGGAAAGCATTAGCCTTTCCAAGTGACTCCCTTTACTGCTTTAATAAAATACACTGGGAATGATATATTACAAAAAACAATGATGTTTTAAGTTTCACAGATATTCTCAATATACTGTTACATGGCATAGCATCTTTGTTCATTTTTCTTTTTTCTACTCCAAAAATTTACTAGGACTCCATAAAGATGGAGAAAATCTTCTCTTTGTGGGGAAGAATCAGAGCATGATATGTGGACAGAAGAGAGGACATCACCTTAGAAAGTCTCTCAGAATAAAGTGCTCAAGCAGAGCCTTTAGTGAAATGTGCAGGAGATGAAGCCAGTAATCCGCTCTAATGGCCATGCCCTCCCAGCATGAGCACACATATTGCGTTATGGACCTGGAGCCAAGCTAAGTAACAATGCCCATTACGTTAGTTCTGGGACTTGGCTTTCTCCCCCCAGCCCCCAACCTCCCCGCTAAGTAAAATTACCCTCCTCAGTCAGAGCTCACTCACCATCTCCACATCTGACACCGGCCCAAAACTGGTCACATAAATGTCTGTTTTGACTTCAGTGACAGCATCTGAAATTAGCGCAGAGGAATGGGGGCAATTATCACTAATGATGTTAAGGGGACTGAATTTACTAACTCTATCACAAAGTCCCTTCTCATGAGCAGAATCTGCAACCCACCCTAAAGCAGTGGGCATCCTTGGGTCTTTCAACTCTGAAAACTCCTACCCGTTGCCTTATTTTGAATTTATTCTGATTGATTTGAGGAATTTAAAGAATGGAAGAAAACTAGGTTTATTATAATAAAAAATATAACGCTAATATATGTTAATAGCTTTAATGGGACAGATGCTAAGAGAGTGTTTTACATAGAGAATCACTCATTTCACACACACACACTCAATGAGGCAAACGTTCGTACTAAAGGTGAGGAAGCTGAGGCTTAGAGAGTTCAAATAACTTGCACAGAAGGTCACTAATTGAGGGAGGGGCAGAGACTGGGTGGGAACACACATGTGGCCTCTCTCAGATACCCCTGCACCTTACCACTCTGCTATCCTTCTGAGGCCTCTGGGCCTTGGAAGGGCAGTAAGGGGGAAGGAGAGAACAGATGTTTGGTCTAGTAAGGATGCTGCTCTCACTTCCAAATCCTGGACGCAGCCGATTGTCATAGCCTTCAAGCAAGTTGTCCAGGATCCGACTGATGTTTTCGGAGTAGAAGTTTCCTTCATCTTCAAGTTTCCCTAGGGCATTTTCTACCCTGTGGGGAGACAGTCAATGATCCTTACTCCCGGCCTCGGATCAAATATACTGTTCAATTTACCCTCAACCACGAATACATGGCACACCACCCAGCCTTCTTCCATGATTTGGTAGAGAAGCCACACAGTGGGGGTGTGCTTACCCTTTCCTCAAAGCTAAAACGAAAAATCAGAAAAAAATCTTACTCACCATAGAATAATGTACAGCCAGGGCAGAGGCGACGCCATCCTGCAGTGGACTGAAATGCCCAGTTCACCCTTCTTTTGGTTCCTCCTCCCCCCAACCAGCTCCCCTTTACCAATCAACTAGAACAACCTTCCAGACCCCTCATTTCCCTTTCCCTTGTTTGTGTCCAGCCAGTAATCCAGCAGATGAGAAGGTTTCCAGTAAAACTTTGAGGGCTCTCCTTGCTCTCTTCGTTTTCTTTTCCGCCTTTTCACGTGGACCAAGGTGGTTTGTGGTCTTAGACTATGTCCTGATGGACACTCAGTCTCCTCTGACTGACTCAGTTGGAAAATGAGAGTCTGAAGGGACAGTGCATGGTCAGAGAGCAGTGACAATAATCGAATAAGGCATTAGGAGAGATTAGAAGGAAGAAATCCACTGCTAGTTTTGGCATGGAATTAGCAGGGCTCTGTGAGGAAATCTGGAAAGCAGTGGCTTCTTGCTGGTTGAGATTATGTTCCAATGGGCTCAGCATTTATTATTTCTATGGTTCACAGAAGGATTCCTACACAGCTCTTACCACCTAAAAAGCCTAACGATAGTGGGATCCTCTTGGATTCTCTTTCTGATTTCATCAGGTTTATTGCATCAGACACACCTTTCCTTTGTATTTAAAAATTGTCTCTTACTACCCATTGAAAAACACTTATAACACACCAGAACAACTCCGGGTCATTTTGCTATTGGGTTAGTGTTTTTTAAAAATACTTTGCTGATTTTTGCTGTCAAAGATGTGTCATCTCACACTAAGACATAAAATGGGTCCTACACTACCTTTAGAAACCTGGCCAATTTCCTGAATACTGCCTTTAAGAGATAATGTCTGGAAATAGCTAATTGAGGTTCCCTGTGTAGAAATGCTATAAGATTAAAGCATTCATAGACATGGTTAATGATGATGTTGCTGGCACTATTTTACTAGGCTTGTCACAGGTCAAAAGCGAAATGTTTGAATCCAAGAAATAGCATTCTCTGCCCAGTCTGGTAGGAGGAAGTTACAGTAAAAAAATCTCTTTATCTTAAAATTTTCATCTTTAAATAAAAAATTAAAAAATAATAAATACACTGTGAATACATATATATTTTTAAATTCCAGAATGTAAGAGCAAGAAGCAAATGTCTTGCTTCACCATCGTCCTACGAAATCCACTCACCATCCACTCAGTTCACAGTCTGTATCTTCAGAACCCGACTTCTACAAAGTTTAAGGTAACTATTGCAGACATACAACAGTCTTAAGGGTTATTTCTCAAGACATGATGTAAATCATTTGAGGAGCTTTTCAAGAAATTAGCTATGAACAAGAAGAAATAAAGGAAAAAGGAGAAGTGCGAGATCTCCTAGGAAATAGCTTTTGTGAGATTACTGAATCTCATGGTTACATGGAATCTTCTGGTTACTTATCCAAAGCCTGAATTCTCTCCAGCATTCCTATCAAGTGGTATTTAGCATCTGTTTTCAGACATTACTTTACTTACTCTGAGTTGTAACCTGTCCCTGTCCAAGGTTCTCATCTTGTAAGTCATACATAATAATTTTGCAGGGAAAGACCACGTGGCAGCCATTTAAACAAAGGTAATTATCACGTTCTCTCTAAACACTCCCAAAATCTTTTCTTTTTCATTATGGTACCTGGTTTCCTTATCTCTTCTTATTCTTTTCCTTCTCCTTTAAATCTACTCCAACTGATGGCAACATATTTTCAACTCCTGTTGATTGCACTGTTACTTAAAAACTCTAAGTATCTGGTATATAAGATGCTATCACATAGTTCTCTGTTCATTTTTAGTACAACTTATTTTTTTATTCAAGTACAGGACTCTATACTTATCCCTGTAACCTTGTATCATTTTTTTTCTATCAATATGTTTACCATGCATCTCTGACTTGTATCATCAGAGAGAAAACTTAGTGAGAGTTTTAAGATGGGATTTTGTTCATATGGTTAAAAAAATGATCATGGTTGAGATTGTACACTCATATATATATTCACATAGAATAAGCATGTTTTTCTCATTAAAATTCTTTATTCAAGAAGGAACAAATAATAGTTGCGTTACATTTGTCTCTAAGGAGAAGCTCAACATACGTGATTCTATTTTCTGATGGGTTTTAATTAGCAATCAATTAATGAAGGAAGACTTTTTCTACTCTCGACAGAAAAAAAGTCCTAGATATGGAAGGGTAACAAGGTGTGTAATCTTAGTCATTTCACCTCTGGGGACCTCACCTTTAAATGAATGTCCTGGACCTAAGATACCCAAGCTCTGTAATTCTGTGGATCTGCGTTATATGTTAGTGTCTGCACGTGATGAAATCCCTTGTTCACACATCCCTGTCAGAAATGGAGCAGACAAGCTCTATTAGAAGCATTGTTAACTAGATTACAATTATTATTTTTCCATGGAACTAGCCAGAAAAGGGCAAGTTCAAAAACATGACAATGGCTGTGACTGAGAAATGTATGGTCATTTATGTAGCATTCTGCCTATGCAAACCAAGCATCAGGAGCTCTCTCTATTTAGATAATTACTTTCTTCTGGTAAATTTGAGAACATTTATCTCACACCTGTCTGCTTCACAGTTTTTTTCCCAAAATACTTTTTTGGAATCACCTTAGAAAACCGCTTGCTTGCTTTGCTGGTTATCTCCGCTGGGAAGCCTAGAACTACCATCCTCCCCAGCAATATTGCTGTTACTATGCTGGACTTAGGAGAAGGACAGTGTGAAAAAATCTATCTCCCTTCCTTGTCCTAAACTTTAACTCCTTGTAGCCCCACCACCAACACAAGTTTGTGTGTATGAAATGACTTATCTATGACTCAGGGTTGGGTAGAGGGAATTATTGAACAGAAAAGGCAGACTTGGCACCAGACACTAAACAGTGCTTCCCATGATACAAAAGAACCAATTCATACATATATGCATACACATATATTGTGAAAATTAAACAAAAAACTTCATTAAATTGGAATTGGGAGGCCAAAGAGGGGAGCTCTCATGCCCTATGTTGATAGCAGAATCCAACAGGAAGAAAAAAGACTGCTTGACTGGCAGGAAGCTCAGCCAATGAGAGACTGTCACAACTCAGCCAATAAAAAGCCACTACACCCGGAAATTTTTGTTTGCAATAGCTCTCCCAGTTTCCTCTTTCTCTCTATAAAAGAGTTTCTTCTCCTTTTGCTGATGGGGATGTGCATGTGGCTTCCCATGGTTGCAGACCCAGAATTGCAATTCTTTGTTGATCTGGAATAAACTCTTTTTTTCATTTCTTTTTTTTTTTTTTTGAGGAAGATTAGCCCTGAAATAACATCTGCCACCAATCCTCCTCTTTTTGCTGAGGAAGACTGGCCCTGAGCTAACATCTGTGCCCATCTTCCTTTACTTTATATGAGGGATGGCTTGCCCAGCAGTGCATAGGTCTGCACCCGGGATCTGAACCGATGAAGCCAGGAGCCGCGAAGTGGAATGTGTGAACTTATCTGCTGCGCCACTGGGTCAGCCTGGGGAATAAACCCATTTTTGCTAGAGAAATAACTGGCCGTCTGTTTGTTTAAGGTCAACAGTATGTACATTGCATCTTGAACAACACATATTTGCATCTTCTCATTGTAAATCTCCATTGGACTTTTCAAAAAACAATGTTGGAGCTGAGCTTCAAGAAGCCAGAAGCTCTTGCTTTGTCAAATAGCAACTTTAGCCAAGTAACTTGACTCTTTAGTTTTCTCATGTGTATGAGGGACTTGAACTAAAGGATTCTGGTATTTATGCAACTACTTCCTATCTAGCACCAGAGAACTTGAAACTTTTTTTCCTGTCTGCCTTAGAAACCATTATGGAGAGCAAGTCAGTCTAAAAATAATAAATGTAATTTAAGACACAGCTAAATTAGCATAATATTAATAATAGTTACTAACTATTTAACAGTTACCTTATGTTAAGAACTCCACATACTCCAACTCATTTACTGCTCACACAAAATCTATGAGTTGTCCATAATTGAACCCATTTTGTAGATCAACAAGTATGTAACAGGCCTAATCTCACACAGCAAGTAAGTAGCAGAATAAAAATTCAAAACTGGATTGTTCTAATTCAAAAGCAACTAGGTACAAGCTAAGGCCTGTGGGTAGAATCCAGTGAAAAATAAGTTTAAGTTCTATTAAAGAAATAATTTCTGTCATATATATCTAAAGATGGAATGGGCTACCATAGAGGAAAATGAGTTTCCTGTTAACAAAAGTGTTCAAGTATAGCATAGAACACCATGGATGGGTTTCATGGATGTATGTTTCAGGAGGAAATTACATGATCTCTAAGGACATTCACCAGGAGATTGAGGCTATTTGGGGGTATCTTAAGTAAGAGTTGCTTGATAGAGTCCTCAAGTGAATATTTGAATTCATAGACTCTGCTGTGGAGTTCCTCTGGAGTGACGTGAAAAGGAGGATTTAAAGAGGTTCCTGGTGGTAAAATGTACCTTGGAGGAAAAAAATGGAAAGGGCCTACTATGTTGTACTAAAGGAGAAGAAGAAGTGGTGGGTTGTATATTAATAGCTAATATTCATCGAATATTACTATATGTCCACTTACTATATGTCAATCATATACATTGATAGTCTCTCTAATCTCTGCAACTGCCTTGCAAAGTAGTTATTTTTGTTTTCATTTTACAAGAAAGTAAATTGAGGCTCACACAGGTATGTAACTACCCTAATGTCCCAGAGCAAGTTAGTATCTCTGATTCTAAAGTATATACTTTTATACACTGTGCTTTACATATGACAGATGACTCTGTTTTCTCAAGTTAGAGTTGCTAAACTCTCCGGACCAGCAATAGTTTTTTATATTGTTCTTAAGGGATACATGACCTCTGAGTGGACACTGTAGGAAATCCCCATGCACTCCCTTTTGGGAACCCAGTGCAATAAGGATAAAATTGCTCTGGAAAACAAAGGGCAATAAAGCGACAGCTCTCTGGACAGCAGCTTTAAACTGTTCTGGCTTGGTTGAGAATAGAATTTTGAACACATTATAGGGCACTTTGGTGCCCCCAAAAGTATAGGAAGGCAATATCGATTTCATACCTCAAAATACAATTATAGAGGGACCAAAAAGTCATGTCTAAAAGAACACAGGTATACGAATTCATGGTTTATACCTGTTCGACCAAAATCCATTCAATTTAACCTTTAGTTATTAAGTGCTTGCCACATGCTGAGAATATAGGACTTTTAAAAAAATAATGCTCACTCTTAGGAAGCTCACATTAAAGATATTCATAGTCAATATAATAGAACTGATAAGATGCTGAGTGCTAAAGAATATAGTTTATTAACCGTGTGCTATGGAAGCATAGAGTGAGGAGGCATCTGTGTAGGAAGGGAGGGATGAGTGGTTATTTCACGAAAGAGATGACATTTCGACTAAGCTTTAGAAGTTGAA